TGCTGCACTTAGCTTAGTTTTCGGGGCTTGCAGGTTAAGGCTAGAGCTATTTCCGGGATGATGAGTAGTATATAGTTCAGTAGCACGTTTCTTTTGTCCTCTTCGACAGTGGGTTGGTTCGGTCGTGTTCGTCTTTGGTCGGCATGGTCGATAAGACAGCAGGTTCGTCAGTTTGTCGGTTCGATCGGTGGATGGGGGTGAGGGGAACGAAAGGGGGGGGGGGGACGAACTCTGTGCTGACAAGTGGAGATTCACAGCCACTTGCGAACATTGGTGACGCTGTATTTTCTTGCTGTCTTTTGTAATAAGCCATATGGCTTTCTTTACTACGTAATTTGCACTCCGTGTGGATTTCGTGACGTTTCTTTGTCATGTATTGCTTTGTCATGTATTGCTGGCTCCTTTTCCATTCTGGGGAGCATCAGTCCGGTTCCTATTCCACCGGCAAGTCAGAATAAGGATACAAGGTAATTAAATACCCACGCTTCCTTCTGTATGGCCGACGGACCCCTGACCAGCATTGATTACTCCATCTATATGGAGGATTGACTGTCAGCTTGCCTTGCTATACCCTTTCCTCTCAGGTTTGTTATAGAGACCTGCCATATAAAACCTGGCTACCAAGAAAGGATCTAGCTCTTTCAAACCCCCGATCCGTCCCTCAGCGAACTCTGGACCCCCTTATGTTCTGGCGCCCTGTTGATCCTTGCTATATTCCGTCCTAGCAGCCCCCAATTTCGATCTGTATTCATTGACTCGGCCCTTATGTTCTAAACCCTTTGATGGCTCCTTGTCAGCTGTTTGAGCGCCTTGAACCCTAAACCCTCCCCCGTTTTTATTGGTATCCCATCCTTCTGCTGCCTCTTTCGTTCCAGATTTCCTTAGAAAATCTATCTTCTTTTCTTCCCCTTGTGTTCCCTTTTGTGTCTTGTGCTGCTGTTGCTGAGTACTTTTACCCACTGCTCATGCCCGAGAATCTTCTTCAGGCTCTTGCACCTCACCAGATGTACCTGTTTTTGTTTGGCTCGAATGCATCACCGTTGCTGTCACCTTCTGTGTTCACCTGCCTGTCTTCTGGGTTATGCAAGTCCTCTCAGTGCAGTTGTTTACCCCGTAGTCGGCTCCTTCTTGTCCTTCCACAATATGTGTGGAGTTTTGTTTTGATGTAACCTCTGTCCCCTACCCTTAGTCAGCATTTGCAGCTCTTGAACTAGTTTAGTAACATCTGTGACTGACTCCGGTCCCTCTCTCTCAACGCCCATCTTAAAACTCCCCTATCTCTCCTTTTGTTTCCCCTGTCTTCAGCTTAGCTGTGTAAGTGAGGCAGGCACAGTCTGGAATCTCCTGCTTGACTCTGAATTGAGCCAGTCTTTCCAGCAGATTCGGTCATTCCTTAATTCTGCCACCTTGTCGTTCACTAGCCACATCCTGGAGAACTTTTTCTTAGCCTTTTCTCGTAGGTCCGCGTCATCGGGCATGGACTGTTTTAGCTTCTGCCATCTGCAAAGAATTTCAGTTTGTATCATTGTTTTCGTTTCTGCCCATACCTTCTCTCTTGAGTTGGATAGCCCTTCAATGGTTCTGCAGCATCTCTCTTTCCAGATGACCCATAGTGTCACCTTCCTGATTAAGCCGAACCATAACCGTTCCGTCTTCTTGAGCTGGTCAGGGATGTTAGTCCAGAGAAGGATTTGGATGGGATGTTCAGGGAAGGGGGCATGAAAGAGGGAACGCCAGAGAGCTGTGGCCCGTGCCCAGTATTCTGTTGCCTCGATGCAGCAAATAAGACAGTGTATCGCATCCTCTTGCGCCCCTTCCGTACAAACTGAACATAGGTCCGAGCTGGTGGGGTCATTTCTGTGACGTCGTTTGTGAAGCCATTGGTTCACTGGGAGCGCCGCGTATGTGATAAGCCACTGCAGGCTTCTGATTTTAATCGGTCTGATGGTTGTAAACTTCTTCCACGGAATCTGTGTTAGTTTGTCAGCTTCCTGGCCCAGTAGTTTCTGCCAGCACAGTGACCATTTCTGACCAGAAGAGAGACCGAGGCATAGTGGAGTGGAGGAAAAACCAATTGGCAGAGGTAGCTAGCGCTGATCGCCGCCTTCGCTCTACCACCGCGACAGGTTCGTGGAGGACGAAGCGCGAACTTTCGTAGTGTCACCAGGGGAACTGACGGGTCCGCCATCGCGGTTGCTGACCGA